GAACCAAGGGGTGGAAACAGGAGTGGTACCACTCACTATTACCCCTAGTGACCCACTCAAAAAATTTTTGCTTCCTGTCCCTGCTACCCTATGCTCTGTGGGTCTGGAGATCTTAGTCCCAAAGGGAGGAACACATTAATCTAAAATTGGCTCACACACGTTCTTCCCTCCTTCTCTTTCTTCACATTATAGCTGTGTTTCCTGTTGAACCAAAATGAGTTCCTTTCTCATAGAGAGTTGTGATGAGTGGATGGGGATGGGCCACCGTAGAGGAGAAAAGTGGTAAGGTATTAATAGGAAGATTTGTCCTTGGAGATTGGAACCAACAGTTTGTGTATTTCCTTAGTGTGATCTGAGGTAGAAAGTGTGGGGTTGGCCATTTCTTATGGAGTTCTCTTTTATATCTGTTGGGTCAGGAATTTCTTACTCATCCCTCGAAGCTCAACCCAGCTCTCACTTCTCCAGTGATGCCTTTCTGACTTTCCCACACAGAGTCAGTCACTCTTGTATCTATACTCCCTCAGCACTTTGGTTGAGGGGTTGCCAGAGCACTTAAAACATTGCTCAAGGCGAGTTTCATTTGATCTTAAGTTTTCCTTGTTTAGCACAGTGTCTACAGCATAGATAATGTTCAAAAAAGATTCATTGAATGTGGGCTGAAGCCCATTAAATGGGGAGAGATAGCCCTTTTAACAAATGGTACTGGCAAAACTTTGACAACTTCAATCTTTTCTCCAGTTATTGTGATGCTGCTTATTGGTTCAGGAGTGAGGATTTTTGTTTTCTTTATATTGAGGTGTAATCCATACTGCAGACTGTAGTCTTTAATCTTCATCAGTAGGTGCTTCAAGTCACCTTCACTAACAGCAAGTAAGGTTGTGTCATCTGTATATTGCAGGTTGTTAATGAGACTTCCTTCAATCCCAATACCATGTTCTTCTTCATACAGTCCAGCTTCTCTGATTATTTGCTTAGCATACAGATTGTATAAGTATGGTGAAAGGATGTAACCCTGATGCACACTCTTCTTGGTTTTGACCAGGCATTATCCCCTTGTTCTGTTTGAATGACAGTCTCCTGGTCTATGTACGGGTTCCTCATGAGTACAATTAAGTGTTCTAGAATTCCCATTCTTCTTTGCCAGCAATGATAGCAAAGTTCAAAATGACAGAAAACAACAAATGCTGACAAGAGTATGGAGAGATTGGAACTCTCATACACTGCTGATGAGACTGTAAAATAGTACAACCACTGTGGAAAATGGCATGGTGCTTCCTTAAAAATTTGGAAATAGAAATACCATTTGATCCAGCAATCCCACTACTAGGAATATATCCTAAAGTTGTGAGATCCAGGACACAAATAGATATATGCACACCCATGTTCACTGCAGCACTATTCACAATAGCAAAGAGATGGAAACAACCTAATCACCCATAAACAGATGAATAGTTAACCAAACTATGGTACGTACACATAATGGAATACTATACAACAGTAGAGAATAATTAAGAATCTGTGAATCACCTCATAACATGGATGAACTTGGAGGACATAATGCTGAATGAAATAAGTCAATCACAGAAGGACAAATATTCTATGAGTCCAATATTATAAAAAGTCAAGGAAAGGTTCATGCACAAAAAAAAAAAAAAAAAATTCTTTGGTTACCAGGGATGGGAGAGGAGGGGAGGAAAAACTGCTGACAAGTTAAATATATGTGTTTATTTAGGTGAAGAGATAGTCAATATAACAAAAGTATGTGACGAGCACAATATCACTAAGAAAAAGGAAGACAGAGAGATGTGCACAAGAGATATAGACAACAAAGATAATGCACAATATTGCATTATCAGTAACAACAAACACTAATCTATAGGTGGGAGCTCTGGTATCATAGTGCCTAAGGCACTTGACTGCTAACCAAAAGGCTGTCAGTTCAAACCTACCAGCCACTCCTTGGAAGGAAGATGGGGCAATCTACTGCCATAGTGATACTGCCTCAGAAACCCAAGGAGAAGTCACTATGAGTCGGGTCTGACTTGACAGCAAACCACCACCACAACAAAAACAACAATCCATAGGTGGGTACATAGGTAGACGGGCAAGAAGATCAGGTGTGGGTAGGTGAATGGGAATATACCTATGACTATACGTAGGTATGGCAGACAATAGTTCTAAATATGTATTTGTTTGTGCTATAAAAATGTCCATATACATTATACAGCTAACAAGGGACAAAGTTAGGTAACTTCTTAGCCACAACCAAGCACCTTGAGGGAGTGAGTCACTGGGCCTGAGAGCTTGGGACCATGGTCACAGAGGACATCAAGCTCAACTGGCACAATATGGTACACAAAAACCTTGTTCTACATCCTACCTCAGTGAGTAGTGACTATATCCTACTTTGGTGAGTAGTGACTAGGGTTTTAAAAGTTTATGAGTGGCCCTCTTGATGCAACTATGGTCTCTCCTAGAGCAAAGAAGAGTGAAGAAAATCAAAGGTGTATAGAAACAATTAGTTCAAGGGATTAATGGTCTATGAGAACCTAGCCTACATGACTCTGAGACCAGAAGAACTAGATGGTGCCCAGCTACCAATGTTAGCCACTTGCAAAAGGATAAAAATTAGAGATGCTGGGTAGAGTGGGAGAAAAAAATGTGGAACAAAATTCAAAACCATAAAAAAGACCAGGATTACTGGTCAGATAGAGACTGGTAAAACCCCTGAGACTATGGCTCCTAGTCACCCTTTGGGGCCTGGAACTGGACTTACTCCCATGGCTCAACTCTCAGCCAAACAATAGATAGGCCTACAAGCGAAAAATTACACCAGGGATCTGTATGCCTTACAACAGTCAACTATGGGAGATCAGAATGGCAGCATTTGCACAGGGAGAAAGCTAGGCAGGCAGGAATGCATAGGTAAGAAGGACACGGGGAAGAATTACCACAGGGAGGAGGTGGGAGGAGAGCTGTTACATTGTGAGGAGCATAGTTAATGTCACAAAACAAGATGTGTATGAACTGTTGAATGGAAAACAAATCTGCTTTGTAAAGTTGCATCCAAATCACAATAAAAAGTTAAAAAGAAAAAGAAAAAAAGTTTTGTTGAATGAGTGAATGGATGGTTTACTAGAAGGAGCCTTTATACTACCAGAAGATATAAATTCTAGTCCCGACTTTGTCATGAAGTGAATGGATAGACAAGTTATGTGACCAAAATACACACATAATTCCACATAACAATTGAGGGATTATTATTATTATATGGCACAGACCTGTATCTATTGGCCTGGAACCAACCATCTATCGGTCACTCACTCTCGCTCTTTCTGCCATTCTCACTCTCTTTTTCTGTTTCTGTCTGTCTCTGTTGCTGTCTTTCTCTTACACATACACATATGCACATAAAACAAAATACCAGTGAAATTGTTCCACTGTGACTACATTATATATACTAAATCTCCCTCCCCACGATGAACTCTCCAGGATCCTCAAGTCAAAGTACAACCCTCGCAATAAGGCACGGTAGGAATCCTTCTCTCCCCTCCCCTGTTTGTTACTTACGTGAAGACATCAGACCCCCATCCTGCCAAAGCAGTGAATAGTCTGGGACTCAGGTCTCGGGCTGGATTCATGGCACAGCCACTGTTCAGTCCCAAAGAGGAAGAAATGACCATAATCAGGAGGCCAACGACAAGAGGCTCTAGGCCTTTGGGGACTCCCAAGTTTCTGGAGTCAAAAATAGCAAAGACAATCATAATGAGGAGCATGGTGGCCAGTACCTGGAGAGGGAGAAAACATGCAAGAGACTTAGCTTGTATTCTGTCTACCTGCCCACCTCAAATATCATCTCCGTTTGTTAAAAACAAATCTAGTAATAATTACCATGCATTGAATGAGAATATTGTGCCAGACTGTTCTTATCAAAGGAATCAGAGAAGTAGGTGCTAATAACTTTCCCATTTACAGATAAGTTGCCTGCCCAAATTCATGCACTTAGAAAGTGGTAGTTAGGTTTGGATCCAGAGAGTTCAGATCCAGACATTGTATCTTAATGACCACATTAGACTGTTAAACTACTTACCCAGCTAAATAGAAAGGCAATCTGCAGGATGGAGAATGAATAAAGGACTTATTCAAACTGGTGAGAAAAACAATGTTAAGACATCCATCAATAAATAGAAAAAGGAAACAAATGGAAAATCTTATAAAATGGAAATAGAATTAGGAAACAAGTAAGTGGGGGAAAACTCACTAGTAATGAGCAAAATGCAAAAAAAAAAAAAAATGTTAAGAAAATGATACCAATTTTCTCAGGCTTTTCTAGTGGATTAAACAGGCTCAACACTTTTGAAAGGAAATTTAGCAATTTGCTTTTAAAAGAAAAAAACATAAAAGTATTCAACACTTTAGCCCAGTGTTTATTTAAGAACTGTTTCCTGGAAATAATTTATAAGATGGAAAAATCATAAAACAAACATAGTCAATTTATTGATGAAAAACTGGAAACTAGCTAAATATTCATCAATAGGGGAAGGGCTAACTGTAATATTGAATGTCCATTATACAGCCATTATCAACAATATATATAAAAGCTATGTTGTAACATTAAAATGCTCTTACATTACTGGGATCTTAAAAGCTTGCAAGCGGCAATCTAGATGCAATGATGGGTCTCTCCTCATCCAGAGCAAAGAAGAATGAAAAGAAACCAAGGATGCATGGAAACAATTAGTCCAAGCCACTGGTACACCATGCAATCCTTAGCCTATATGACTATGAGACCAGAACAACTAGATGGTGCCCGGCTACCACTGTCAACCATTCAGAGGGGAATCTCTGTAGGAGACCCTGGATAGAGAGTGAGAACAATGGGAACAAAAGATAACTCACAAAAAAAAAAAAAAAAAAAGGGACCAGTTTTGCTGGTCTGATAGTACCTGATGGAACCACTGAGACTATGGCCCCTAGCTGCCCTTCAGGTCTGGAATTGAACCCACACCTGTGGCTTCCAGCCAAACAAAAGACAGGCATATGAACTGAACATTTACATTAGTTAGATACACTCCTTGCAGAGATCAATCATAAGAGAGTAGAAAGGTTGTGTATGCAGCTCGAGGGGCAGGAGTGCATGGGAAGGAAGGACACAGGAAAGAGGTAAGTAACTATGGGGAAGAAGTGTTACACTGTGGGACATTGTAATCAATGCCATGAGACAAAGTGTTTGTGAGCTGCTGTATGGAAAGTGAATTTGCTTTGTAAACTTTCACACAAATCACAATAAAATTTTTTAAAAAATGCTCTGTTATTAAGTGGAATAAAAATATAAAATTATATGTGCATTGTGACTGCTAACCACAAGTCTGGCAGTTCAAACCCACCAGCCACTCCTTGGAAGAAAGGTTGGTCAATCTACTTCTGTAGAGATACCGCCTTGGAAACCCAAGGAGGGGTCACTATGAGTCGGGTCTGACTCGGTGGCACATAACAAGAACAATTGTGCTTTATGTGTAAAAACATGCATCAAAGGAAAACAATAAGATATATATATATATATCTCCTCGGAAGGAAGGTTGGGCAATCCTACTTCCGTAGTGTTACTGCCTCAGAAACCCAAGGAGGGGTCGCTATGAGTCGGGGCCGACTCGATGGCACATAACAACAACAACAACAACAACATAACAGGTATTCTGAGGTGGTGAGTTATAGTTGGTACTTTCTCTGTTCTTTATTTTCTACTTTCCAAACTATTATTTTACCTTAATAGCTATGTAATTAAACACTTATTATAAGCCAAGTACTTCATATGTTTTAGCTCATTAAAACTTCCTAACAACCCTGTGAGGTTGTTGCTACTGCTGTGCACCCTTGAGTAGATTTCAACTCATAGCCACCCCATGTGACAGAGTAAAATTGCCCAAAGGGTTTTCTAGGCTGTAATCTTTGTACGAGCAGATTGCCAGGCTCCTCTTCAATCCTGCAGCCACTAGGTGGGTTTTAATCACCAGCCTTTCAGTTAGCCACAGAATGCTTAACAATTGTGCTACCAGGGCTCCCTATGAGGTAAACAGTATTCCTAGTTTACTGATGAGGAAAATTGAGTAAAAGAGTAAGAAAAGTGCCCGAAGGCACAGAGCTTGTAAACAGTAGAATCTGGATATAAACCAGGCAACCGATTTTAGAGTATGAGCTCTTCACCATCTCATCTGCTTCCCAAAATGTTGTTCTTGTTGTTGTTATGTGCTGTCGAGTAAGACCCAATTCATAGTGACCTCTCCTTGGGTTTCCAAGGCAGTATCACTACGGAAGTAGATTGCTCCATCTTCCTTCCGAGGAGTGGCTGGTGGGTTTGAACCGCCAGCCTTCTGGTTAGCAGTCAAGTGTCTTAAGCACTACGCTACCAGAGCTCCCTCCCAGAATAATAATATTAAAATAATTTGTATTCAAAGAGACATGCTCTCTCCCAAGAATATTTTTCTTTCAAAGTCTTTCCTGACCCTCCCATGCAGAGCAGAAGCTCCGCCTCTGGGCCTTGGTTGCATTCTGACCTTATTTTTGTCATTTATCTATCATCCTGTAAAAGGATATGTGTTGAACTTGTCAGATGGAGCATCAGACTCTGAGCTCCTTGAAGAAGGAAGACCATGGAGCTGTACTTGGCCTGGTGGATGCTCACTTAATATTTGGTGGCTAAATGAATGTTTCTTAATTAAATTATGAAACATGCCTGAACAATATGTAAACATTTTAGTATTCTTAAGGTAAAGTGACCCAGAACTATGGTCATGGTGGCCAGGAGGTCTATTGGGTGTCAACTAATTGAAAATTGGCATTTTTATGATCTCCCCTCAAAGCCCCAGAAATGCAGACAGCCTTCAGAGATTACTAATGGTCAGAGCATCAAGGTTTGCTAATATTTGTTTTCTCTACTTTAGCTATATATAAATAACTGGGTTAAAAATCATGGTCCTAGAGAAACTGGTAAATCACTTTGAAATAAGGGCACAATGAAATAAGAGCACAGTGAGGTAGGAGCTGTTGGGGGGATAAATATCATCCAATAAATGGATTACTCTCAATGAGCTTGGGCCTCCATTTACCAGAAAACCAAATAATCTCCTTGTGGCCAAGACATTTGGTGAAACTTCTTGAGGAAAAGCATTGGGGAAATAAGTGGAATTTTACAAGATTTCATTAGGAGAGAAAATTGTGGGAAGAATGGGAGGACAGGCCAAGGGTAGAAAAATTACAATTTGTTGACTGTTCAGTTAGGTGCCAAGGATTTTTATCATGACAATCCTCTGAGGTTGTTATCATTGAAGCCATTTATCAGAAGACTTAACTGAGGCTTCAAAAGCTTCTGAGTACATTCCTCATTTTATTGTGCTTCGCAGATAGGACTTTTTTTTTTTTTTTTACAAATTGAAAGTTTGTGGCACCTTGCATTAAGAAAATCTATTGGTGCCATTTTTCCAATAGCATGTGCTCACTTCATGTTTCTGTGTCATATTTTGGTAGTTCTCACAATATTTCAAACCTTTTCTTAAAGCTCTTGCACACTTAATACAGTAAACATAATTTTTTTTTTTTTTATTAGGATTTGGGTGAAGATTTACAGAGTAAATTCACTTTTCATACAGCAGTTCACATATACTTTGTCTCATGTCATTGACCAAAATTTACAATGCAGCAGCTCCCCTCCCACTTCCTCCCCATAGTTACCTCCTCCCAGTGTCCATCCCTTCATACTCTTCGAGAGGCCAATTGTCTGCCATCCCTGTATATGATCTTGGATACACTCTCCATTTAGACATACATAATTGTTTAGCTTGTTCACCCATCTATCCGTCCCTATACCCATGTTTGCTTTCATTAACAACTCAGTATTGTATTTACAAAGGGGTTCATATTTGTTGTTTGTACTGCCCATGTAACTCTCTCTGTCTTTCTCATCCTCAATGCTGCCATATTGGTCACTCACATTTGGTACATTGCCCTTCTCTTCACCCAAATCAATATTTATCTCTATCTATCTAACAGCATTCCCTCCCCTTCCCTCCCACCCCTGGTAACCAACAAAGAAAATGTCCTCCAATATATAAACCTTTCCTTAACTTTTACAATAACGGACTAATACAATATTTGTCCTTTAGTAAACATAATTTTTATGTGCACTGGGAAACCAAAAAATTCACGTGACTTGCTTCTTGCTTTATTGTGATATTTGCTTCACTGCAGTGGTTTGGAACTGAACTCACAGTATCTCCGAGCTATACCTGTAACTTGTTCAAGGTCAAGTGCATGGTAAGAGGCAGGGCTGGGACCAGATCTCAAATGCTCTTCTCAGCAGCACACTGCAGAATTCAAGGGGAGCTTATGCCACTTCCCTTGGGGTGGCCAGCCCTTGGCATTCCTTGTAGCAAAGATGTCTTCTGGAGCCAACTAACTCTCAGGAGGGGAAAGGTTTTGTATCTGTTAGAAGGAAGAGAGCACTGCTGCAGGACTCAGTGGAGAGGGTTGTATTGACGGGAAGTATCCAGGGGCCAGAGGCTTCCCTTCAGTCCTCACATTCTCAGAATAGCCTGAGAGTACAGGGAGGTGGCTATGAGTCCAAATTACAAGGAACAGCAAAGCAAGGCAGTTCTTTTCTACGCACTTCAGGGTTTAAAGAGAAACAGTACATTCTTTCTTGCTTGCTTCAAGTGGAAATGACCTCAATTCACATGAGGTATCTCCAAAGGTCCTTCAACAGTTTTCACTCCAATCTCATCTTCATTATAAG